CCTGCCCGAGAGGGCGGCCGCTGCGGGCCCATCGCGCCTGCGGTTCAGAACGTCAATGGCGACCTGCTGAGAAGACCTGCCTCATGATTCATCCTGGGCACCCAATGGCTTCGAATGACCCAAAACACGAGAATACCTTCAGCTCGGCGGAGGCCAGCTGGCAGCAAGCCCCTATCCGCCACCGCCCATCCAGAAGTCAGTCACGCCGCCGTCAGCCTCCATCGCTCTCACTCCGTTCTCCCCGTCCCAATGGCTCCGCCGAATCTTCCGACAGCTCCCACGCCCGTGGGAAAACCCTCCGCGCCTCACCAGCATGGGAGGCAACGCTTCCCACTGACCCACCTGCCAGCCCCAAGGTGCACGAGGCGAAGCCGTGGGCACTCCGCAACCGCCGCCCGCCCCCGGCCTGGTCTGGACATGAGTCACTCATCCACTCCCATCGAAGAGGAGGACTTGAGGGAACCCCGAAACCAAACATGCCGTCCAAAAGGTCTGTCCAAGGCTGCACTGCGTATTAGTCCTTGACTCGTCGTTTCAACTAGTGGAAGGAAAATCCACTGGACAATCCCCTGGATGGTCCTGGTGTGGTCCAACATCTCCCAAAACCCACCTATTGGCACCTTGCATCCAACCACTCTCCAACAGGGTCAGGATGCTTCGTCGTCCAATCTCCGAACCGTGGGAGGCCTCGAAGTTGAAGCGCTCCACCTCCTTCAAGGTGTTGGCGCCTCCCAGGGCACCAGACCGGCGACGCCGCGCCGGGCGGTCGAGCTGGACCGGAGATCACGGTCCACGACGATACGACGTCGCGCGCACTCTGACGATCGAGAACGCCATCGCATGACTCGTGTATGGTGTGTCAGATCTATGGCATGGCTGAGGCGTGCGCGCGCTCTCTCTCTCTCTCTCTCCTTCTTTGTTGGAACGGTTCGGCAGGCAACAGTTTTAGAAGCACCAAAAGTGGTTGAAACCAGTCGATGTCAGAGCTCCCAATTGTTTAACACAAATTTCGCCCGAACGGCGAAGGTGCTTCTGCCGTGGCCCTACTTGACCAAACACCTCTTCTTCATCGAAAATCCATTGACCAAACACCTCTTCTCTCCGCATCTGGGGAAACTCTTCCAAGCAGCCGGGCATCCAGGCGCGTCCGATTTCCAGCATCCCACCCCTCACCCCCGCGGCCCCCCGCGCCGTCGTTTCCGCCACAGACGTAGACCTTGCCCCAGAGCTCCGCGCAGGACGCGCCCTGGCGGAAGACGCACTCGGAGAAGAGTGGGGGGCGAGAGGACCCTCTGTTGGGTTGAGTGTCAGGTGGCTGGAAGGTCGCTGGCAAACGGACATCGGAGGTGGGAGAGGTGTTGGCAAGCTCCACTGAAATCATGGCCACGTGGATGGCAGTATGCCACAGTATGCCTGTTTGTAGAGGCAAATGGTCCATCCAAGGGGCCATGCCGTTTCAGGGCATGCAACGCCATGAAACTGCACCTCTTTGTGATTCCTACTGAACTGCGCCCAAGTGGAGCACAAGACTTTGGGCCGTCCAAGTGGCTCCCAAGCGGAGGTGGATCTTCGGGTGACATGATGCCGCCTAGCTCTGTCTAAGTCAAGAAAAAAATTGCAAGCATTGTTCTAACTTGTTGATATACCTGTGCTTCCCAAAAACTCGTCATGTCAATCTTGGTTCTCTTCTTTTCGTGGCCCCGCGGGGCAAAATGGATTTTCCAGAAAACCCGTGGATTTGAGGCTAGCATATAAGGAACCACAGGATTCGAATTTCTCCGTCTTAAGTCTTTGGAACCACTGGTGACCTGAGTCGTACTGGCAACTGGATTCACTCTTGTTCACTCAGTACACTTCTGTGCAGAGGATTCCCTCAGTAGGCTTCGTCTCCGGATCGGCCTCGGGCCACCAAACACTCGATCTTGCCCAGCCGACTCTTTGTTCGAGTCTTATCTTGAACCTCCCCACGGAGAAGAAAAAGCACCGCTCACCCCCTACAAGTCCAAAGTCGCTGTAAAACCTGGTCTTTTACCTCCTTGAGTCGTGGTTTTTACACAACAAACTCCAGTAAAATGAGGTCATTGACTTGTAGGGACCTTTTACTAAGTTCCACGGGGAATGATTTGTAAAGGCCTCTCTCTCTCTCTCTATGGCCTACGAATGAATCAAATCCCTCCCCTACCGGGCCCTACCGGCTTCTTTGAGCTGGATGGTTTTACGCCGATGGGAAGAACTGCCGTTCTCCGTTGGCCGCGCCGCATCGCCTCTCGGCTGAAGGTCATGGAGGGCAACATCTCCTCGATGCTCGGGGCGGTGGAGGGACGTGCGCGTGGTCGATGCGGCCAACAGCAAATCCCACCGCCAGGTGAGCCGAACAAAAGGAACCCGGTCCCTTCTAATCCATGACCGCCAGAGGGTCATGGATGTTTCCAAGGTGATTGGGATCGTGGTTTCCATCACGATGGTTCCCGCAGAATCCGCCGATCGTCCCAAAAACCGCCGTAGGGTGATCGTGCTTCATCTTGCTCACCAATCCCAGCTGGCTCAGGTGGATCGCGCGAAAGACGAAGCTTGACCGACCGCCTACCAAACGGAAGGCGGGTGGTGCTATCGAAGCACATGGGTATCTCCGAGCCAAGAGCCACTCCAGCTAGCTGAAACCAGCTTTCGTGCATACCAGCAGGATTTTTGCATACAGTACCAGCACCTGACTTCGGTCACCACCTCACTGCCCGTTGAAGTTGGTTGCTTCGGAACGTCATCCGCGGGCCAATGGTGCTTTCCATGCAGACCTGGATTCTGCCGTGGAGCGTAATACCACCCGGAACCGCAAACAACCAGAACAAACAGACCTTCCCATATGGCCATTCAATTCCTTTTTACATGGCAAAGGTGGTTGCTTGGGGAAAACATCGCTTGATTTCCGGTTGCCGGTGGGGGGGGTTCCAGGCATCTCACCCAACATCCCCCCAGAAACGCCAGCTCCTTGGTTCACCCACCCCGCGCGAGCGGCCCGCGTCGCCGCTCGTTGGGCGCCGCGGGGCCCAGTGATCTGTGAGACGCTCCACCGAGGACAAGTACTCCTCCCCTCGGTCCAAGCGGAGCGGAGAGCGGGGTGAGCGAGCGGAAGGAAGGAGAGAGCGAGCGGGCGTTCGCCGAGTTCGCCGAAGGATCCGGTTCGGTGAAGCCCCAAGAGTTTGGGGGGAGACTGCGAAGGACACCTGCGCATAGAGGAATTGAGGCATGCGAAGCGGGGGAGGGATTTTGGGAATTTCTGCTCATTTCCTTGAAGCAGTCGGTTCCGTGTGTCGTGGCCTTAACAGGAAGAAGTGTCCGGCCGGCCGGCCGTGTCCCCCCACAACACTGATGCGGCGTGGAAGGGGGTGGTGGGTTATTGTGAAAAATGAAGAATTGGTCCGAGGCTTTTCAAATTTGCTCTTGTGTTTTCTCCTTTCCAGCCATGACCAACGAAAAGCATTCAAAGGCAAACCTCAACCTTGGCACCCTCCAACTCGTGGAGAACTCCGACGCCCCAATCGCGGCTTCACCGCGTCCCGTAGGGTCCAGTCGTGACCTGCATGGGCTTTCGCCGTTGGGCCATTTCCATGTGAGTGAGTCTGAGTGAGTCTGAGTGGGTTCCCATGAGTCGCCCTCTACCAATCTGGTCGACCAATTCACCGAAAAGGAAGAACGGCCGCGTTCGGCCACCCCATCGCATGCCGGTTTTGGCCGCGTTCGTCTGCGCTCGGGTTTCTTTGTTCTCTCGGACTTGGCATGGGAGAAGTGGACAGAAAACCGGGCTCGCTTTGCTCCAAAACGATGACAAACACCCCATGCTCTGGAAGAAGGGGAACAGGGCACAGAACTAGGCAGTGACGTGGTGAGATCCTTCTCCTTCAGAAGTCCTTCCGCTCGCATTTAGGTCCGTCCCCTTCGCTGTCTCGTCGCACGGTCCACCGAACCGGCCCGCTCCAGAGGTGGAAGCACCCGATTGTTCGACTATCCCGGTTGGGGTTCTCCAGGTGAGTCGGGTCCTATTGTGCGGTCACTTATAGAACCTCTCTTGGCTGCTTCGGGGGCATTTTGGGGGCCATATCTGTCGAAGTATGTCGAAGTCTTTCTCACGTCCACTTCTCCGTTGAGATGCTCGCCGGCGAGCTCCTTGAAAATCGAGCCCCACGGCTCACGATGGCACAACCGGCCAATCGAGTGGGTGGTCCATGAGGACAGCGGACCCTCCGTGTGAGGACAGCGGCGCACCCGAGAAGGCCAGGTGTGGCATGTTCTGGACATATCTAGGCCATGCGGCCATGCGATGTTGATGAAGTTTGTGAGTCCAAAATGGTCCAAATCCTGTGAGGATGCTTCTTGGCTCTGCAAGATTTGGTGCTGCTCACATATCACAACAGGACAAATGCCACCCACACACACCCTGGCTTGCTCCGCGGAGGCCGAAAACGAGACAAGGGCCTCTCGTCCCTCCGGCTGTACAGGAACGGGCGGGGAACCGAAACAGGGAGTATCTGATGAGTTGCTCAGTTGGAGCGGGTGCTGGCCATGGATGGACATCCACTTCAGCTCACCAATCATTTAGACTCTTGATTTCCCAAGCCTGAAGAGGCTTTTGAATCCATGTCAGGGCTCTTTAGAATCAAGAGTCTGCATGATGGAAATGGAAAGTGCTCCCTTAGAAAACTACTTCCATGTGAGTTTGTCAGGGGCATTTGATGGCCACCGTGAACGACTTGGATCCTTTTGACGTTCGGCACTCCTCATGTCCGAGCTGATGCCGTGGCACAGCATAGTCACAGTACAGGAAACAGAGTTTCGGCAGTTTCTGCAGCCCCGGCCATCCTTCAGTTTCGTCCAAAAGCACTCCACCCAAGTGAACCTCGTCATCCCCCACCCTCTTCGGCCCCCCCAAACCGCAGAAAAAATCGACGCCTCCAACGGCCGTTTGGGAGGCTCTTCCTCCAACGGCGCCCGGCTCGCCGTCGCCGTCAGGCTTCAAGGAGGCCCTCGATCAACAGGTCGATGAACTCCACCGACCAGCTCCGGAGCTTCCGGTCCTGCGAGACGCGACGAGGGCCGGAGAGGAAAGTCTGGAAGCTTTTTGAGGGGAGTGGATGTGTCAAGATGGAGGTGGCTACTTTGGAACCCCAAGATGGACAACCAAACCACCAGAGTCCTTGCCAATGGTGAAGAGGTGCACATCAGCGAAGGGGAAGTGGACAGTGTAGGTAACCCGCCGCCAGGTCAACGACGACAGACCTGCCACGCACGGGCTCCAGCAGCCGATTGCGCAGGGTGCGTCGCGTCATCGCCTTTAAAGGCCCTGGGTGACGGTCTTGCTCCAAGAGCAACCTCTGTTTCAGTAGAGTCAGAGATTGGGGATCACCACAGGTTGAGTGAACTTGGTTTTGAACAGTTTGGGAACCACAGGCTGTTTGGTACTTCCTTTGTTGCTGCTCTCTAAGCGATTCGCATCCGATACGCTCAAGAAGACGTCACTCGTCGTGGCCCCTATCGCCCTGATCACGATGAAACACGACCTTTCCCATGCCAAGCCCAAGCCGTTGGATGGCAAGCCCCTCAGGTCTTTTTCGAGAGGTCGCACTTCCGCACCCCACATTCCCACATCCACTGCGAAGGTGGGAGTTGGATTTCAGACCTCTGGAGTGAAAGGGACACCTTGCCCCTTCACCTGGGCCCTCCCAGCCATCACCAAGCCTGAAGAGGGCATCTCTCGACACAAGTCTCCGGACCCGATCCATCCACCCGCGGCTTCACCGTTCCGAGCCCCAAGAAGCTCCCGGTCACCGCCCCGGTGGGTCGCAGGTGGGCCTTGCAGCATGTCGGGGACGAACTCCACCTCTGGCGGCGCGGCTTCGGCGGCTTCGGCGAAGACGGCTCCGGCGCGGCTCCGGCGCGGCTCCCGCTTTTTCTCTTCAAAGCCCGGCAGGGTGTGTCTCTTCATCCAGTTCACTCCTTTGTTCACTCTTCATATCTCTTCATCCAGCTGATTCATGTTAAGTCTTGGTGGCTGCAACGCTACCCCCCCCGCCGAAATCCCAATCCGCGCGCGAGCGTCCAACATCCCCAAGCGCGAACACGAAAATATCCCCTCCCTGCAATCCTCTGCCCGGCACTCCACTGCCCTACAAAGAAACCATGTAAGACATCCACTCCGTGAGGCCAGGCATGGCATTCCTCTCCAGGCCAGGCACCGTGCCCGTCTTCCAGTCTTCCGGTCTCTATGGGACCCAAAACCTCACACCCGGACCCCGGACCCCGAACGCCGAACGCCACGGCACGCCTCAGAGTCGCTCGACTTGCGGAGCCGCGGCCCGGGGCGCGCGGGCCTCGGGGGCGCGTCGGTGTCGGGCGGGAAAAGGGGGAGACAAGCACAAACTGTTAAGGCCCAACAGGTCTCCTCTACCAGGACCTTCGTTTTTTTGGACACCTCCTAACTAACCTCTAAGAGGCTTTTGATAGGCACAGAGGAGACCTGTTGGAGGGTGCTGGTATGGGATGCATGTCTTTTCTTCCATGGCTGGTCGTGTTTTGCTTTTGCGGATCTTGTTTGAGGTGAAGGATTTTCAGGGTGACGAGCCATGAGATCTTCAGTCACAAGTCCAGCCTGACCCAGGTCCTTTTCCACAACTCTGGAGTCGTGTTTTTGGATGACCAACTCCACAATGAGGGACATCGAACCCGTTTTTTTCCCCACCAGGTGTCTCTGCGCCAAAAAGAAGAACAGACGCGTGGTTTGGACCGTGCCCGAGTTTCGTGGACCTGGAGTTCATGCCATGACGACTTGGACGACTTGGGAAGCGGTTGGTAAGTCCAAAATGGTGTCACTCGCATGAATGCTCGTTTAAATCTCTTCTCATCCTCCTCTCATCTCTTCAGATCAGTTCTTTCCCAGGCGAAGAGGGGCAGCTCTCGGAAGGACTCTCGAGGTTACACCCCAACCCGAACGGCCTAAACACCATCACGTCCCAACAAACCCGATCCCCGAAGGGTTGGCTAAAACCTCCAGCACTGATCCAGCTCTCTTCAGAGTGGAGAGTTAGTTCGGTGACCACCATCGCGGAACCATCATCGAAGGGGTCCTTTTCGCTGGGGGAGGACCATGGGCGCGTCCAGAATTGACAGGAGCTCTGATCATCTGTCTTAGATGGGAAAGCTTGACGGATCAACCGTCGACATGATGACATGACTCTGAAACCCAATGGTTCAAGCCCAACGGGGACCCGCCCTGGACGCATTGAGACCGACGGGCCGCGGCTCGCGGCTCGGGAGTCTCTCAAGTGCCCGGGCGAAGCTCCGCTGGTCTGGCGCGAAAAAGACACCTGGCGCGTCCAAGCCCCCGGATCCCGAAGTGGAGAACCACCAGCACTGGATCGGCACAGGTGGTTTCAGCGGTTCGATGGCACAAGTTACCCCACGTAAGGTGGTTTATGAGGACCCCCATGTAAAGACATCTTTGGGGTTGTGCCATCTACTCTGAAACCACTGTAAGAGCCATGTGTCTGGACAACTGACAAGTGATCACACGTTGTTTTTGCAGCGGATCCTGGGTTATGTCTTGAGCGTATCCCTTTCAGAGAAAAACAGGCACCTGTTGTGTATGGCTTTGCTGCGCACATTTGCCCAGGAACCTCAGAAGCAAAGGGATTGACCCCCACACCACCAAACACAGTGGCTTGGGGAGCTCCTCCATCCCTTTTCTCTTCCACCCTCCGGTGGCCCCACCACCCTCCGCACAGGCGCCTCCTCCACGCTCCGCCGGAAGCGCTCCGCCGCGCCCTCCGGCGCCGCCCAGCGCGCCGCAGCGGCGCTCGGGCGGCGCAGGCGCGCGGCCAGGCCGTCGGGGCCGACGGCGGCGTCGATGCGCCAGAAGGGCCACCAGTAGCCGGTGAAAAGACTTGGAGATGGGAAAGTGTTCCTCGGCTGCCGGAGCTGGGCGAGGTAGGGGAGGGTGGCACCTGCTGTGGGGGATAACGGCAGGTGGTGGTCGTGAAGTGTTCTTGGGAAGGCGACTAAGGGCAGGGGAGGGGGCACGGATATGGCGACGAAACTGGCAATTCCCTCAATGAATCAGGATCATCATAAATGATCCCAGCTGAACAGTGCCACCCAGTGGTCCAGAACTCCAAGCGTATGCCGCCCCAGCTCGATCACTGCATCCGTGGACCCGCGGATTCGCTGGATTCGCTGAACTACACATCCTCGCCCCTGTCACCTTGAATTGGCCCAACAGGCACAGGGAGTGTCTATTTTCCTCCCTTCCGTTCCTTGAATCCTGCATTTCAAACTCTTCCTCCAGCATCGCCCCCCCATCATATCCCATTACCCCATCAATCTTGGCATATACATCACACTTTTAGCCCTCTCCTCCTCTCTCTGCTCCCACCTCCCACCTCCCACCACCCTCCCCTCTCGCTCCGCCAGGCCACTCGGCACAGATGGCCGCGGTGCAGCAGGGCACCATCACGTCCCAGTGCGAGGCGGCCACCGCGCTGCGCGACGCGCAGCGCCGCAGCGCGCGGCTGGGCGCGCCCGTGGGGTCCGCCAGCTCCTCCAGGAAGGGGCGAGGAACTCCACGGCCTGGGATCTCCGAGTAGGAAGAATGGAATAGGTACACCACGGGTCACCATGGGGGTCATCACGGTACATGACAGCTGTTTCCAGCGTCTAAAAACCCTGAAAGGGCGTCTAAATCACCCTGCACGACTTTTATCCACCACTTTTTGCCTTGTCGTGTGTGTGGCTTGGTCTTCGCCGTTTTACAGTGCACTGACCAACTGCGACTCGTTGCAGTGCGCATTCGTTTGCGAGTGGAACAACAACACGAACAGGCCATGGTACGTTCCAGACTAGCACAGCTGGCACAAGTGTGGGCCGTTGGCTACGTGGATGCATTTTAAGGCGCGCTGCGCTGCGTGGAACCCTTTTTTTGGGAGGGGCCTATCACTTTCCATGGTTTGGTGCACGTTCTCACCACAACGGCTCTCTCCCTACTCAAGCTACCCTTGTTTTGACCTGACTCATGTTCTTCATCGCTTTACATTCTATATGGGTCATCCAACACTGGGTCTTCGACGAACATGTGAGGTTCGGTCCAAATCTGCATTTTGGCATCGTCAAACCGGTGGACCGCTCAAACTGGTTTCTCACTTTTGGAACCTTGTTAGAGGGTATGGTCTTTTTTGTGAGCCCGCGATCGTTTGAAATGGATTTTAGAGCATTCCAGCGTATGAATTGTATATGATCTCCTGAATTTTGAAGGTACTTCATGTGAAGATGACATTCTTGGAGTCTTCTTGGAGTCTGTACGCCCTCACCCAATGATGTGCTCCACCAAGCATCCGCTGGAACTGGAGATCGATGAGCCCGCCGGCGCTTTAGTCAGCTCCTCACGATCCTGCCAGGGATTAGATCCAGGGTGTCAATACGATTCAAATCGATTCAATGAGGTTGCAGTTCATCATCAACAAAGGGGTGGATGGTTCGGCAGGATAGCCGCACACTCCACCTGCAGCCATTCAAGCATGTCTGGGCCCCGCTACGCCCGATGGCTTGAAGAAAGAGCCAAGATCACTGGGTTCTCGCCTCCGGCCCAAGAGGCCTTCCAAGAACTGCTCGGTCCGACCGGCCTCGGTCCTTGCGACCGGCCGAAGGCGCCCGCTTCAGTTTCCCCATCCCTCCGAAGGTCACCCCACGACGCTCCTGCAGGGTCACTTGGTGAATCAGGCGAAGAAGGCCTAGGCGTTGAGGGATGATGTCGCCCAGATTCTTCCTCGGCCGGACCAGCACGGGTACCCAGTGAAAAAACCCGGTAAGTAGCTGGAACCTTTTCGTGGGCAAAGAGCCAAGTTGGGGGAGAACGACCCGCCCTAAGTGTTTTCATGTTTTTCGTTGAGTGATCTGAGAGACTTGCCTGCGAACTGACACGAAATGTCTGGACATGCGTGCTTGAGGCTCATCACACTCATCCACGAGGCCCCCCTCGATCCAAGTGTGAAAGACTGGAGGCTTCTAGGGAGCCTGCAACCTGTGTTTTTTGAATGTTCAGTCCATTTTCCTTTTCCAGAACGGGCCCCCCTAGTTCCAATGTAAACCCCATCTTAAGGGAGATCCCTTCCCCAACCCTCCAATAGGAACCTCCACTTCGTCTCTGAAAGTCGAACTGTGCTCCAAACTCCTCGTCGGTGTCCGCGCGTTCGCTTTCGAAAAGGCTCCAGCAGGTGAAGGGATGTCCTGAGCGCACGCCCAGATGTGGTGAGTTCAGGCTCACGAAGTGGCCGTACCTCGTGGAGAGCTCCGCGGCGAGGCTGTTTGGGGAGGGATGGCCGGGAGGGCCGGAGACCGGAGAGCTGCTTCTTGCTCCAACGGCGTCAAGGGCCAAATGTCGGTCGAAAGGGATGATCTTTGGGTCAAAATCCACAGTAAGTGATCTTGTAGCTATAGATTGGCCTAAGCTTTTGGTGTATGGCACCAATGCTTTTTTGGATCTTCCGTCTCTGAGCGAACCGTGTCGGACAAACCTTCGAGGAGAGCTGCCGATGGCTGCCTGCCTCATATCGATCAGTTCGGGTCCTTGACATGGTCTTTTCTTCAAATCTGACTTTCCATGGCGACCAGGGCGGCTACATCGCCTGCTGGATAGATCATTGCAATCTACGTGTAAATAACGCGAAGGGGTCCATGACTCAACCTCGGATTTGGGGTCATCATTAACACAAGCCCCAGTCAGCTCAGGATTCGCAGGTGCTCGTGGTTGTGAAAGATCTCTTTCAACCCAAGGGCGTTCCACTCCATCAAAACCCACCCCATCCACGTCATCCACCCCAACCCATCCCATCCACCGCCTCCTTGGCCCCTCTGTCCCCCTCCCCCTCCTTTCTTCCCACTGCTTCGCCACTCCAAAGCTTCAGGCTCCACCTCCTCCGCCTCCGCGATCAGCGGCAGCGCCGCACGCGCCACGAGGCCACCCAGGGAGTGCCCGACGAAGTGCAGCCGTACCTGGAACCGCCGACAGGGGCGGTCGGGGTGGTGGAAAAGCAGCGAGGTGAGATACATGGGAGTTGGTGGTGGATGGTGGCAGCATTTGGGACCCATCAGTTGCATGTCAAATGAAGACGAATGATGATGAATGATCGTGAGGGGGGCGCGTGAGGTGACGCGAAAGGACCCATCTGCCAACATTCCCCGCCAGCACCACATCCACTCCTCTGCTACACACACCGCACCACGCACCTGTCGTCCGCCAAACTCCTTCAGCGCATCCAGCACCTCGCGCGCGAGCAGCTCTCCCAGGCGATCGATGCCGTCGCCCACGACGCGGCAGGTCTGGCTGATGGAGGCGGCCAAGAGCAGGTGCCACTCCGGTCGGAGCAGTTGCAACCGCTCCTGCCGCACCGGGCGAGTGAGTGACGGGGTCTCCCCGCAGCTGGGAGGTGGGCGGTCCCGCCGCGGCTCGGCGCCGAAGTGGGAGGTGGCCGAGGACCGACACCACTTTTCGGGGTGTTCAGGCGAAGGAAGGATCCTCATCGGTGAGTTTCGACTCCTGGGTGAGCCTTTTCTGGTGCAATAGAAGGACGCTTGGAGGACTGAGAGTGGCAGGCCGGCCTGATGCTGAAGTTCCAGGAGCACAACTTGATCTAGTCCAGGGTGGTTTGGCTGCAGCTGGATGGATCAGGTGTTTGCCACCCTTTCATGTTCTACGCCTCTGTGACCACTGGCCCCCCCCGATCGCTCCTGCCAGATCTGCATATCCTGATTGCTACCTCAGTGGGGAAACACCAGCAAAAAGACATTGGCTCGCTGATCGAAGGGATGGTGCCCTCCAAAAAGGCTGGGTAGCTGACGCTGCGTTAAAGAAAAGGGATGAGGAAAAAAACACCAAGACCGGACTCGTATTTTGGCCGGAAAAATCTCCTCGCGTCTCTCCCAATCTCTGCGTGATTTCGGACGAAGCAACGAACGAAGGGCGTGAAGGGCGTGATCGATCGAAAGGGAAACAACGGTTTCACATCCTCACAGGTTCCTCACAGGTTCCTCACAGGTTCTCACACCTCTCAACTGTTTGCCTTGTCCCCTCCATTGCTTCAGATCAGCGCCGAGGACCGCCTCCCAACCGATCCCAGGTGCCTTCGATGCCATGCACCAACACACAGAGGTCTTCTCGACACGCCTGAACGTCCGGGCCGGCTGGGGGCCTGGGGGGTTCGAAACCAGTAAGTGTAGTCATCGGGTGAGAAGCACATATCATGCAGGCATCGATATGTATGTGAATATGTTACATGTATCCACATGTGTTTTCTGTGCATCTTTGAGCAGGTGTCCATTTGCACATATCTCCATCTTCATTGAAATGACCAAATGCCCTTTACGCATGAAATGCTTCAACTGAGAAGTTCCTTCTAAAGCAGCCTCTTGCGTAAAACAAATCCACTAGCTTTGATTTACAATAGGATAATAGGAATCCTTTGGAAAAATCACTTTCGGTTGGAAGAATCTCCTCTTATCATGAAGGGATGGGATGCCCCTTCAAGATCAAGGCATCTCCTGTTTCTAACATTTCATGTTGTACAGAAGGGGTGTTGAGTGTTGAGCACATTGAATCTTGAGTTATTTCTGCTTAGCCTTGTGCGTCCCAATTGTCCTAAATTTCTGGTAGAAATTGGGAACTAAATGAAGTAAGAACTAACAATGCACAACAGGAGATGTCTGAAACGTCTTAGTTCAGGTACAAGGGACTTTTGTGAGCCTCATAGTTCTAGAAATGAAACCAGCTGGGAGCTAAGAACTTGGAAATGAGAATTGGCAGAATTGGTGTGATTGTTGGAAATGACTCTAGAATTGGCTTTGGACCATTGGGCCGACCAATTCTACGTGGCGTCAACTCCTAGGCGTCAAACGGTGTGTGTGTGTGTGCGTATGTCCCAAAAAGCGTGGTGCTCTGGAAAGAGGTGTGGCGTAATATATGATATGCATGTGTGTGTGCTACCCCCCCAATATAAATACCAATCAAAAACCAAAAGAAGTAGACATTTGGGGGGGACCATATATGTATATATGTATATACAAAAAATGTACACGTACGAGTCATGTCAGTTTCGCTGAATAAGAATCCATCTGTGCCCTGGCTGATGGAAGAAGATAGGTGTTATTTTTCTTTGGTGGGTGCTAGCATATCTATAGTCTATATCTATGTATACCTATAGTCCTATAGATCTTCTAGGGCCTAGGGTACATATACACATATATTCGGCTGCATCAGTTAAGCTTGACTTGGGGCATAACGAATCAGCTTCGGACGAAATTCTTTTTCGCTCAAACTTTCTCTGTTCAAAGGTGCTTTGGTTAATGTGACACAGTCCCAGCAGCCCACGCTGCGTGCACCCCTGGTGCATACCTCTGCCAGGTTTTCGTTTCCAATGCACTCAGACTCACCCAAAGCACTCAGAAGAACTGGAAGACATGACTCATAAGTATCCGTGAGGCGCACGATACCGGCCAAGGTAGGGACCACCAGCCGAAAACTGTATGAGCTGAGCTGCTGGATATCCAGTACACCATCGAAATAGGGCTTGATCACCCGCAAGAACTGCCCTATGGAAACCGGAACAGCCGTATCTGCATCGAAGGCCAGGTAGTGCCACCCTGCGAAAAGCTTCACCATGCCGAGGGCGAACTTTATCCAAATGTCGCTTCAAGGGGTCATACAGGTCCAGGCTCCCCAACGTCCGTGGGAGAGACCAAGCAAACCGGTCACGGGTACGAGTACCTGTTTTGCCTTTGTAACACCAGAAAATCATAATGGCGGAATTCGCTCCGATGAGATAGCTCCGTTGTATGTGACAAAACCTGATAAGGCCGAATACCATTACCGCGGCGGCCAATGAGCATGCTCAGCTGTATATTCCAAGACACCCATCAAATGCGTCACCATTCCGGTTCGAGGGCAGCTGCCTGCGATTGTCCTTGCCCCAATCGAGTGCTCCTGACAGGGGGAGGCGTCCAAATCCAAGGGGACCCGCAGATTGCGAATCATCCAGCCCAAGGAAGTGAAAACACGAGTAGGACCATGGTGTTCACGAATAAACGTAGCCAGGGCATGAGGATCTGGGAACTTGATGCCCAAATGGTCCATGTATCGCACGAGGTCGCCTCAGTCTTGGCACAAATCTTCTCCAAACGGGAGTGCCAATTGGCATGTACTCGTCGTTGCGGGCCGGCGGCGGTGGCATCAAAGTCAGCATGATGCCCAAGAGGTCCCGGATGAACAGAGAGGCGACACCTCCCTGGGCGCCAGACAGGCGCTCCTGCACCTTCTTTGGGCCCAGCAAAAGAAGACGGCTTAGGGCGGGCCACCAAAGACGTAGGTGGGGATGTAGCCGCGGCGCTCGAAGGTTGGGGAGGCCGAGACTGGCGCACTGTCTCGCGAGCAAAGAGATTCCGCACCAAAGCCGCCATGCCCGGTTCACTTTCACGTCGGGCAAGCTCCCAGCCGTCGGCAACGGCCCGGCCGGCCTCCCTGAGCGCCTCGTCATAGGACACGAAGTAGAAGGCCAGGTCGCTGGCTGACTCGATTCCAGCGGCAACGCACCAAGTGTTCAGGCGCTCTTGCTCAACAGCGCGTCGAGCAATTTCTTCAGCCATGGCAACGCTGCAAAGAAAATCTCAAAGAGTCAGTGACTCCGACTCTTTAGGAGAGGCACTCCTTTTTGGCTTGAGCCCCAAGCTTAAAAGGAGTGAACTTAACATGACTGACATCAAAGAATCACCGACCCTGCCTACCTTGAATGAATGAATATATACACACATGTCTGTCGAAAAAGGTGCCTAAAATATCCTAAAATCCATGATGGCATATATACTCCCCCTCTTCTCCCGGTGACCCCAACTCTCCCCACCCACCCGACCTTACTCCACCCCACACACACGCCTGCTGCTCGGAGCCTGGAGACGTCGAACCGTAGACCATCGTAAACTCTAACTCTCCATGTGTTTCCTGCTTGAGGATGACGCAACAGAAAATGCGAGTGCAAGAAGGACGCTGCTCTCACGGTTGAAAACCTCCCTCAAACACAGCTACGCACTCAGAACCAGCTGGTAAAAATAACAACGTCCTCAAAACGATGAAGAAACAGCCTGACCAGGCAATTCCACATGCAAAGAGCAACCCACCTCCGATCTAAATGGGCGAATCCTAGGCTGGTGTTGCATGGATGGGACCAAAAAGCTGACCTCAGGAAGTAAAGCCATGGCCATAATTGGTATATAGTTGGGGCACACTCCAGAAATTCCTGAGGATGGGCTGCTGGAAGGTGCCTGTTCAAGCACCATCATCTTCGATTTCTCCGGGAACCCACCTAGCAACCCGAAACCTGGGAACCCCGGTCCCCAGCCCCGAATGCAACTTCCCACCTGGCTTCACCAATGCCTCACGCGAAGAAATGCCACATCAAACGTCCAACATGGCCCTTGGGCCCATCAAGTGGAAACATCTGAGGGTGGAAACGGCCAGTCTTCTTAGTCTTCTGCACCCCTCACCCAGCACAGGTGGCCGTTCGTAAGGCGAGCTGAGTTTTTCATTCAGAACTGGTCGGAAGATATTGGAGAAGCTCTAAAAGGTTGGAGATGGTTTCGGAGAACTGGAGAGAAGGTAAAAAAAGACGAGTGGTGGATTCTTTTGCGGCCGGAGGTTTTGTGAACATGTGCATGTCCAAGTGGCGCGAACCAAAGCGGAATGTCCCAAACTGTCCTGAAACAGAAGTCTCCACGCGTCCGCCACCACCACGCCTCGCGCAACGACCATCGTTGCCCCATGGAGGCTCCCGTGATCGCCGGGAGCGTTGGAACGAGCCGAGGAAGAAAAAAGGAACACGCGGTCGATCGGTCGGAGTGTGAATGTCTCTCCGGTCTCTCCAATCCGAGGCGCCCTTTGAACAAGAAAAAGAAAAACATGTGCCAGTGCGCACAGTGCCCGGAAGGCCTCGTAGTTTCGGTGTCAAGTCTGTTGCTTTTCGTCTTGTTCTGGCCTGTGTTTGGTGACTGAGGGTGCAACAGGTGTGGCTTGTAAGGGGCTTGGCGTGGCACTTCGTGTTTCAGAGCACCCGCACCCAAATGGCTTTGCAGGGTTCTTGGTCGCCATGTTCTGACCAAAGATACAGCAGCTGCACCATGAGCCATCACGGCAGGCAGTATACCAAGAGCGGATCTGCTTTCACAGTTTGCTGGCCATTTCTTCTGCACACTATAGATGGCCGCTTTTCCTCAGAAAATAGTGGCACCGTTGGTTTGATCGGTTGGTTGGAGGTGCCCAAGCTTTTCCTACAAAGTCTCTTGCTTCATGGTCCGTGAAAGCCAAGCCGGTGAACCCAAAATACACCCTGGAAGACTGACATGAACCCTGAAAACCACTGCCCGGTAAAGGAAAACAATTTTTCAGGTGCCATTGTCAGGGTCCACGTTAGTTTTCGGGAGTGTAATCCAAAGATCTCACCCCACAAATTCATCAAACCCATGGCATCATCAAGACTGAACCGACACCCAAGCAAGGTCTTGGGCTCATTGTGCCAAGACTTCCTACAAACTGGTCTTGTCGGTTTCTCCCCCTCCGGCCCGAGTCAGAGCGAAGAAAAAGATTGCAGAGTTTTGGCTAATTAAATGATGTTGGTCGGGGCAGGACTAGTTTTGATGCCTCCTTTTCAAGTTTATCAGCATCTTCATGAAATCATCGCACCCCCAAAACAAATGGAATGAACCCTATCATAGGTCACGGCCTTGCGGCCCCCGGCCGAACTGGGCCTAGACCTAGACCCTCGCAGTCCCACACTCGGGTGAACGTGGACAGTTCTCCCCGCATGACTGGCCGCCTGGCTGGCCGCCCCCCAAAGCCCCGAAGACTCGGAGGAGCCCATTAGGGAATCCGAAGGCCCAACCAGGCGGGCGCCAGTCCTGCTTCCAGGCCTTTGTCTCAATCAGATGGCACGGCCCCTTCCAAAACATCAACGTATTGGGAATGATGCTCCATGACGGGACCCCCATGAAGTTCGCCGGGCGCCCGGACCATCGAAGCCACCACAGACCACCAGCCCGTGGCCTCGGCACGGCTCCGCGGTCGGCGCCGAGGCACCCAGGTGCGGCTGCCCAGCAGGCACAGCGCCGAGCCGGTGGCCCAAGTACTTCTCTTTGGGCCAACCAGCCCCCAAACCCATCAACCCTCCCACAGATGCGTTCGGTGAACCTTAGCCAGTTGGCCGCTAGTTTCCTCATCTCATTCGACTTCACTTCAAAAGCATCCACACGCCCCCCAGCCGGGCCTAATGCCTGAACTATTTAACTAGTTTCTGTCACGAAACTATTGCGTAAAATGAAAGAAAGGACCTTTCCTGTCTTGAGCCCAAAAAGCACGAGGGTCGCCACATGAGACTTCTTCCCACGCGCGACCGGGGTTTCACCGGCCTTGGACCACAGCGGCGGTGGCTCCGGAGCGCCTCCGAACCCGCGGAGCGACGGAGCGAACCCCGGAGCTGCCGGGACGGTATCGGGGCGAAGACGGACAGGTGGAGGTAGATGCACCATGAGCATGGATGGAAGTGATGGAAGAATTCAACTTTAGAAGGCCCAAACCGCTGCTGCATGGCTACAGGCCTTGTAGCTGCAGGTTCCCCATAGGTTGTAATGACTCAACATGTTTTTCAGGATGTTAGTTTGCGTTTGGCCCCGGCCGCTGGTTCGATAGCAAAGCTCGATGTTCTGGTCTGCGGCCCCGTCTGAAATTCAGCGCTGTTCGCTGCCGGAGGTCCATCGAATTGACGTGCCATGACGTTCCACCAAACCAGGAGCAGAAGATCAACAGCACGCAGCAGCAAGCAATGCGGCCCTGATAGGCATCTGCCCACAAAGCACCTTGCAAACAATGCCGCTACCGTTGATGACTTGCCTTTTTAATCTGCATCACCAACTCACCAAAACGGCCTACAAAAAATCGAAAAGCCACTAAGTGTCCACATTTTCCCCCCTCTGGACCGCGTGGTATGCCCCGAAAACCACCCCCTAGATTCACTAACTTTGTTGGGACAAACTCACCGATACGCCTGGCGTATCGGCTGGCTTTCGTTATAGGTCTACTTGCATGTCCAGTAAGTTACTTACAACTTCGATGTCTACAACTTCGGTTGGAACTTGTGGAAGCTACAGAAGATGAAACCAGCTACAACGATGTTGTAAGAACTTCAAGAAAGAAACACAAATGGACCGCCAGAAACCTGCAACCAGGTATGGATCAACCAGGCCGGTCATCTATGATGGCCTTTATAGGCCTTGGCGACGCATGGCTCCAGGCCTGCCCTCAAGACTCGCAGGTGTGTGGCCTGTTGCTGGAACACATGTCCCAAGAAATACCTCCAGTCAACAGACCATTCCTAACTACCAACCCTCCCACAACGCAACGGCCATCTACACACAACGCACGGCTGGTGCGCGATGTCCACCAAAGCCCAGGAAACCCCTGATCTCCTTCTCAAAAGTCTGTTACCAGAATCAGCACCTTGTTCTGCGAATGTTGGCCCTCCCTCGCACGCAAACGTGGGCATCTCCAGGAGTGGGCCATGGCCTGCAGTGCATGGGCGGCAGCTCTTGCCAGGTGCCTTGTCGACCGGAACGGCTGAGAATCGGCCCAGGGAACCAGGTGGAACCAGCCGCACAACCCCAGAGTCTCATAAGTTCACTCCACCAACTCGGGCGGAAAGGTCCAAGAAAAAGGAAAACATTGGTTGTCCAGGGTCAGCTCGCTGGCCTTGGATGAACCAAAACGAACCAGAGTGCACAGCCCCTGTTGCTCATGTCTGGGTCGCAGCTGCCAGGGCCCCAAGGCCAGCAACGCAGGGCCCCGCCAAGTTCAGAATCATGTTGAAACAGACCCCCTCTACCGGAACCATTACCGCCAAGATGAGCAAGTGGCGTGATGCAAGACTGGCTCATATTGGCTCAACAGGTGGGTGGAAACCAAGAAAGAAACAACCAGAAATAGACAGACCGCTACTTTCCAAAAAACATACTAAATCTTGACAGTCTTCTACAGTAATGGAACATTAATTTAGGTTGAAATCATTCAGGAATGGTCGAAACCGACAAAAATTAAGCCTGGACATGTAAAAAGCATGCACGCAAAGAACTGTTGGTCAACCTCTGTAATTAACTGAGACCCTACGGGTCCCTCCAACACCCGTCTTGTGACCCCCTCATGATTCGCGCATGTCACACATGGGCCATCGGAATCCTTAAATATATACCAGGACCATCCAAGGGGTGTTCAATGCCATTGGGCACCCCCTTGGATGGTCCAGGTATGTATATATATATATATATGGTGCCTCCCGCCTCCCGCTCCCATGGATGCGATGACTGTTGGGTGTGGCACTGATGAATCGGCCGATGGGTCCTGGACCACCCGGCATGCATCCCACAGACCCGAGTGCCCAGTGACCGGAGTTCACCGATCGGTGCGCACCCGCGCACCTGCCATGGGGTCGAAGCGAACCGCTTGGTCCAGCTGCCGCTGTCCATCGAAGCCTGGCGCCGACCAAGAGACGCAAAGAGAGGTGGTTTTGGCACAAACAGGTCAGAGGGTTTCGCACAGGGTTTCCTCGGTCGGGGTGCCTTACTGTACTTTTGGTCACTACTTCCACCCTGCCAGGAAAGCATGGTCGCGAGAATCATCATAACAACCAACATTCTGCCTCTTGCCACGGTCATCCGCCACCCAGGATCCGCCACCCTCCCACGTCCACGGTGTGTGTGTGGGTGGATCCTCCTATCTGGAGGGAGGATCGGAACCTTCCGGATCGATCGGCGCAGTTCTTCGGAAAAACCACGAAAGCAACCCTCACACTCACGGTGACCTCTTGTGTAACGAGGCATGTTTCAGAACAATGTCGATCTTAGTGATCAAAGCGTGTCTTAGTTTTACTCGAGACTCACCTGATAGGCAGCCTATAAGTCATAGAAATGGCCCTCCTAGCAGGCAGCATGTGGAAGGTTTCTCAAGACTGGCAGCATAGACAGCCAGTGAGCAGCATGAAGAGCGGCTTCTCCACCGGTCTCTTTGCAGCCACCGCTACACTTCCCCAAAAGCCTCAGGCTTAATGTACTTCTTGTGGCCCACCGCAGGATCGCTCGGAGGGCTGAAACTGATTTCTCTTAGCATAGCAGCTAGCTAGAGTCGAGCAGCTAGTCAACCAATTGCACCAAGACTCAAGACAAACATCTGAGTGGAAAACCATACTGAAACTAGGTTGCACCTCAAGGTCGCGACCAGCTCCGCCTCCACTCTCGTCTTAGAACCCACATCTTGATGAATGAACCCCATGTTGGGGATAGGTATGCTAAAATCAATCAACCGTCATCACCAAGGTGGATGCCACCGAGCTCGAAGAGTGGCAGGTTGCAGCTCGAAGCTCCCCGCAAAGCTCCCGCCGTCGCGTGCATCGCTGGCATCGCGCGCTCGCGTCGGAAGCCCCGGCTCGGCCTCCACAGACCACGATTTGGCCCCCTAAGACTGCAGCAACAGAGGCCTGCAACATCCACAGGTGGCGGAATCAGATCGGGATTCTGGTGACTTTGGGCGGTGCTTCACCACTTCCTGGTGAACTTGGAACTATCTGTCTAGGTCAGTTCAACCCCCCCCAAGCAACCGAAAACCTGCGCAATCCCCCAACGCAAGGCTCGGCACCACGCCTCGCGCGGTACAGGGAGGGCCGGCACCTGGGCTCACCATCCCTCACTGATCTCCTTCAATTGGGGTCGTGAGCATGTAGCTGTTGAATACGAACGATCTGGAAGTGAAAAGTCAGTCAAGAAAGCACTACGAACAACATGAACTGCGGCCCGGAACGATTTGATCCTTGGCAGCAACAACGGAAGGTCTTTGAAAGGCAGGTCATGACGGAATGATCCACCCATTGGCTCTGCAGCACCGAAGGCCAGAAATAAGGCCCCAGACGGTCGGACGGCCAAAAGCTCTCGATATACTCTCCCGCTGTCACGATCCCATTAGAACCAGAGAAAGAAGACCGGTGGTGAAACGACCCATGTTCCGAAGACCGACCTGGTTTTGGGGTTCCATGTGGTCCTCTGCAGCAAGGGGAGTAAGGCCTCCGGACTCCAGTTCTGGTGTGTTCTGTTCTTCAGGACCCCCTCCAACTTGCCACCAGGCGCTGGTCCACAAGGCGCTCAGTCACCGATGACCAGGCGCCCGCAGTTCCCCCGCCAGTTCGTGGCTGAGCTTCCGCAGATTGGTCTACCGTCTACCAGCCCATGAATCACTCAAAACTGTTCGAAAAAAGATATGGAGAAGAACTCTCAAAGTCTTCTGCGCTCTGGAGACTTCGCCTGCACTCTTCAGCCAAAACTCCCGCCAGAATGAACTTCTGGACCAACAACTTCATAAAAAAAAGGAACGCCCGGAAAGTGCCGCAACTTTCCAACCCAACCTGCCAGCGGTTGCTCAAACAAGGAGCGTCTACGCCTGAACACTCCAGTCCCACTCCTTCCCACTCCTTCTGTCCCACTCCACCGGTCCATCCAAGGCACTGAGCCCCAACTGTTCGCCTTGGGGTCAAAGCGATGCACCTCCGACAAAAGCCTCCCGGACCAGGCAGACTTCGCTCGCCCGTCGCCCCCCCCCCCGCGCACGGCGCACCCACCGCGCCAGGGGGAGGGGGGTGGAACCGCACCAGGGGCGCTGGGGGTGCTTGACCGACCGACCCGCGGGGGAAGTGTCAAACCGAGCCGCGGCGGGCCACCCTACCGATCCGAAAGAGGTGGAGGCGGACACCGTCCTCGAACCCGTGGGGGACGAGGTGGAGAGGAGACCCGTTTCGTTCCGCTCCCACAAGCCCCAAGAAGCTGGGTCTGGGGGAGCGCTGGGAGGTCGAGGATTCCTCTTAAGCTGGCTGATTCTTGGGGCACGTCTCGGTGATGCTTTTCAGGATGGAGAGCAATTGAACCGCAACAAATTGCCAACAAACCACAAGGTCCACACCTGAAGACCCCAACAGATGGCAGATTGATAGAACAGTCACACGCAGGACGGACAAAAGATGCAAGCATGCAAGTATATACCAGCTTGAAACTCAACCAATCAATCATTGGAGGAGACCGTTCATCGTGGAATTGTTTATTGGATGTTATTGGATGATACCGTTTTCGCGCTGTCTGATCACCTTCCCATCAGGCACCACTCGGGAATGATAGTGGATGAGATGGTTTCACCCTCATGTCCAGCAGCAACAAGCGCACGGCAGTGGCGACAACAATCAAGCTGACCCTGTTTAACAAATGAAAGCGCTGGCCAATTCCTTCGGCAAATGTTTTCACATGTCAGTCATCTCCACATCTGTGTGAAAACACGTCGATCGCCCACAGTCAATCGGTCAGAGACCTGCGAAGTTCCCCGGAAGAAATGCCTCCGAACAACGGACACCCGACGGCCTGCTGCCGTCGTAGCCGCCGCAAATGAAGACTTGGCCGCGGCCGCCGGCCTCGGGGCGACGGAAGAAGTGTGGCCGGCGCCCCAGAGCGGCTTCCCGGATACAAGGTGGAAAAAAGAGAAGCAAATGGTGTCCTTGATGTTTGGTCCTTCCCTTCTCGCTTCTCGCTTCTTCTTCCTTTTTTCCTCCTTCTTCAGCGAAGACCACACGCAGCCACTTCTTCTCAAGCTGCGTTCTGGGCGCCATCGCTTGCAATTGGAATGCCAGGTGTTGGCCTTCCGCCTGCTGACTATACAAGCGCAAGTGCAGATCAAAATGCCATGCACCTGCAAAATTGCTCTACAAGGGGCGTTCGAGATGACTCTGAAAATTGAAGCGCCTTGTGTCAAGCACCTGGCCCAAGCTACGATATCACAAGCTTTGCAACTCAAGACCTCATGACAAAAGAATCAAAATATCAAAAACAGGAATTGCTGGTAGGTTCCGAGATGCCTCCTAGCTTCTATGCTCGACTTCTGCCAGGCAACGCTTGCAGGGCCCCGCAGGCCGCCCGCAGCATTCAACCAGACAATGCTCAGCCGATCTCGAGTCTTGTCTGGCCCTCTCTGGAAGCCATCAAGATCTCTATGGCGTGAGCCCATGCCACAGGGATGGGAATCGAACTCATGCTACTGAAGTTGTTGGTTGAAATTGGGAACATTGGGAGGTTTGAAATTTGACGTCTTTATACATCTTTTAACCTTCCATGGCGCCAGCCCTGGCACCGTCTCACCTCCTTGGGTCGAGTCTAGTCCCTGGCGCCTCGTGCAAGTACCGGTGACAAGCACGAGGCGGCTGGCATGCTCTGCGGCATCACCGCGGTGCCTGATCACTTGCATCACCGCCCGGTGCTGACGAATCACAGGCGGCCAAAGAAAAGAAGAGGCCAACAAAAATGATGGACTCCGCGGAGTGTTTTTCCAACACAACATGATCCTCCGGAGCATCTTCTGGCTTGGACGACATGTTCACCACTTGTGTCGGTACGTGGACCCGCGCAAGCTCCTGCCAGACACAGCACTCTGCTCACCTTCCTCCACCACGCGGCACTTGCTGCACCAAAAGGGCCACCGCCAGGGCGGATAGCACTTGTGTTTGTCATTGGCCTTCTCCTCCACACAGAGGAAGGCCATAGTCTTCCAACCTTCGTTGGCAGCAGATCCCTCGTACTGCTGGCAGACCTCGCCGCAGACCGGCAACTCGCTGGTCACCTCAGACCTGCGCCTGCACTCCTCACAGCCGCTGCACCAGGGTGTGGCGCAGAGGCGCTGCTTCACTCGGTCCAGGGACGATCCCCGAAACCACTTGTAGGTCGGACACACGGAACGACATCGGCCGACACTGGCAGGACTGGGCTCGTCCGTGGTCGTGGCCGTCGTGCTGGTCCCCGTGGTCTCCGTCCGGGTGGCGGAGCGTGTCGTGGTGGGCATCGCCAAGACGCTCTGGAAGTCGATGGTGCTGACGTCGGCACCTTGCAGCGAGGCGCCCCAGGCTTGGCCGGTCCGTGCCTTGCGGTCCACGGCCAGGAATGCTCGCGCATTGGCCCAAACGTCTGTGACACCCCTGAAGTCCAGCACACTGCAATTGCCACCATAGGCGTCTTGACCCCAGCAATGGCCTGCGCCGGTGACGGTGTTGATGGCTGCGAAGACCGTGCTGCTGGGGTAGATCTCAAAGCCATCCAGGCTGTCGACCAGCGGGCAGTTGCCTCCATAGCCGTTCAAGCCCCAGCACTGTGCCGTGCCACTGCTGTCCACGGCCAAGAAGGCATAGTCGTTGCTGTACATCTGCGTGACGGCAGTGAAGTTCACACCACTACAGTCACCCCCCCGGGTGAAATCGCCCCAGCACTGTCCACTGCCCGACCTCCAGGCCAAAAATGCGGCCGCCGTGGAGTAGATTTGCACCTCTCCCGAGAAGTCAATGCCACGGCAGTCGGCACCACTGCCGCCCCAGCTGCCACCCCAACACTGGCCCAGGCCACTGTTCTTGTTTATGGCCACGAAGGCCCTGCCGTTGGTGTAGACCTCGGTGATGCCCGTCAAGGTCACCGAGCTGCAATTGCCTCCATAGGCGTCGCTGCCCCAGCAGCGGATGCTGCCCGCCGCGCGGTCGAAGGCGACGAAGGCGCCCGTGGAGGCGATGAGCTCCGTGACGGTCCCCAGCGAGCGGGCGCTTCCGGTCAGGTCGGAGGCCTCGCAGTGGCCTCCATAGGAGCTGGAACCCCAGCACTGCAGGGTGCCGTTCGCGCTGTAGGCCGCATAGGCGTACTTGTTGCTGGCGATCTGCGTCACTTGGCTGAAGTCAATCGTGCCACAGGAGCCACCGTAGGAGCTACGGCCCCAGCAAACGCCTCGCTTTCCCACGGCGTCGAAGGCTAAGAAGCTCAAGTCGGTGGAATAGAGCTCGGTAAAGCCCGCCAGGTCCACCGTGCTGCAGTCACCTGAGAAACATCACGACACCCACGACAAAGGCCCTTGCTAGGTCACCCAGTAGGGGACATGACCCCAAAGAATGTCTGAAAAATGGAAAGCAGGACCCCAAAAAACCTCCTTGTGTCTTTGGTCTTCCTCAATTTGGTGTTGTTTGTTCATCTTTTCCGCTCTCGTTGTTCTTGTTGCGCGGCACATGCATCGTCCTCCCCTCGGTCTTCATCGACACCGACCGACCCCGGCGGGCCTCCGTAGGTCGCATAGCCCCAGCAGCTGCCGCCCGACGTCCTCAGCACCGCCATGGAGCGAGAGTTGGCCTTCACCTGAACGCGGTGAACTCAGTCGAACAACGTCGCGCGACCCGTGGAACTGCGGGTCAGGGCAAAGGGAGAGAGAGGAAAAAAAGACCGTAGAATATAAAGGGAGCTGTCAAAAGCGGACCCTGTTAGTTCAACAAAAAAACGAGGGAGTCTTTCAATCTTTGTCTTATCTCTTCGAGGATCGCTACCACCTTTTCAACTCCTCCACCTGAAGAACTCCCGTGAAATCCACCGAACTGCAGTTCCCGCCGTACTTCGCGTCCCCCCAGCATGCCGCCAGGCCGGAGGCCACGTTGACCATGGCAAAGGAGAAGTCATTGGAGACCACCTGAAGATCGTCGACCCCATGGGCTCCCAGGAAGAAGAGGCAGAAGATCCCGAAGCGTGCCATGAAACACCCGCTGTGCTGTGCTTTCGCACGCCGCGCGCTGGCGGTTGAGGTCAACGAACTCTTCTTTGGTGCACCAGACAACGCAGTGATCAAAACCTTCACCCAGTCAGCTTTAAGGACGGAATCCGAGGGCCAGTTCTCTTGGAGTTGGTCCGAAAAGTTCAAGGCAAAACTTCACAGCACTCTGGCTGTTCTTTGGCCTGATCTTCTTGCGCGGTTTGAGCTCAAAATGCTTGAGGCAACAGACAACCAAGTACTGGCCTGTGAAACACCCAACGACCTCCTAGGCATGTCAACGTCACCTTAAAACGCAGCAGGCCTCAAAGAACAAAAATGAGATAGAAGATATATATATATATAACTATATATATACATACATACATTGATCTCTACATGGGCGGTGACCGTCACTAATCAACATCCCGAGGACGGCCCAAGCACGACGACGCGTGGAAAAGGTGGCAATTTCTTGGGCCGCGCGGCTGCCAAGCAATCCACTGCCTGCCGCGGCGCCCGCTCATCAACCAAGGGTCTTGCTTTGGCGGTGTGTCTTCCCGAAAAAGGCCGGAGTCGTCTTTTTGCCAGGCGCCCTTTGCCCCCCGGAGGGTCTGCTCCTTTTTTCCTCTCCCACACTCCTTGATGTTAGGGGGGTATCAGGTACCAACCCGTTGTGGACATGAGGAATTTCACAACGGTCGATCTTCGTACCGGGTGTCTTTGTTGTGGTCTCTTCCGGCACTTCCAATCGGTCGAATCAGTCGATCGTTCTTTGATGTTCTTTTGAGATCTAATAATCTAATACTGCAGTCATTCTCCCGGCTGGTTTCCCTGCCACCCTTTTGGCCCTTTTGGAAAGCATCCTGTGAACTGGGTGACACCCTGGGGCCCTGGCGGAAGAAGAACTCCCTGCACCGCCGAAGTTCACGTCCCAAACACACAGTGCCAATTGAATGCTTACTGCTTCACCACCACCACCACCCCCCTCCCTCAAAAACAGAAAAAGGAACACCTAAGTCTGGCCCCCACCCTACCCTACCCCCCCTCCAACACCAAACGGGCCTTCTTGGCCTTGGACGCCTCGGCCCCCAACTCCCGCGAGGCGCGGCACAGGGCGCCCACGGCCGCCACGCCAGCGAAGCCCAGCACCGCCTTGGAGAGCCCGGCCTCCGGCGGCGGTGACCGGAGCGGAGACGAGGTCGGCTGGGTGTGGGTGTCTTGGGATGGTGCTTTTTGCGCCAAGTGGAAGGACTCAGTGACATAGGTTAGATGGTTTCTTGGAAGAGCTGCTTCAAACGTAAACCCCCATTCTCAAAGGAGGTTGGGCTAAAATGTGTCTTCCTTGACACGCCATGTTGTTTCAAGCACCGACTGAACCTCACAGGCGCGAATCGCTTCGAATGTTCGGTCGGTTGGGAAAGCTGCTGGTGGACACAGCCTTCCAAAGTTGGATTCGCCCAAAGTGCCTATACAATACAGTGAAGACCCTGACAGGTCAGAAGGTAGTTGAAACGATGATGTGGCCTACAAGATCAAACACATCCATGCGAGTTCTTTGTACTTTTCCTCTGGATCCGTGGACCTCAACAGTCAGAGAATCGCTCGCCGCCAATCAGCCTGCAGGACAGACCACAACCCCACTTCCTTCTCATCAGGGCAGTGCTTCCTCGGCTGCCAAGTTGCAAAAGAAACATCAACACTGGCACAACTTCGTCACCGTCACCGCCATGGAGAACACGGTGGGATGATTTGGAATGTGGGGGAAACTCAAATTAATGCAAACTCAGAGAACACGTTGCCAAATCTCTTCATAGGGTTTACGTTCCCTCTCATTCCACCTGAAACGCCCGTCTCATTACGTTCTTCGGTGCTCTCCTGACCTCCGACTCCGACCGTGACGCTTCGACACGATGGGCTCGCGAAGAAGGACTCTGGCTACTGCAATGCGAGCCCATGAAAGAGCTGATTGATAGCCTCGAGTCATTTAGGTCGCCCTCCGTGCCGTGCCCTTCGTGGGTGACCCTGTGCCAAACCCCGAATCCTTCAATAGACACCAAAAAAATAGAAGTTAGTTCGTAGATCCCCACTCACCATGTATTGGTTTCCACTGCCACGGTCATCTAGGGACCGCACACCCGGCCCCACACCTCGACCTGTAAACCCCACGGTCTGCGAGAGAGGCGTCCATGGATGCTGTTGGCACACCCGTTGAAATCGGATCCGGTGAAGGTAGGACAAGAAGAAATCCTCGGTGAAGGCAACGGGCGACGGAATAAAAGCTGCTCGGTGAAACCCGCGGCCATGCCTTGAAAACATGTGCGTTTCTTGGATGCACCGCACCGACACATGGACACACAAAGCCGTTTACTTCGGAGACAACGGCGAAATTCGTGAAACAACCAAAAAGGAATATCCCGCCCCCACAGTTGCACCACGCGGACCGTGCTGTGCTGCAACCCAGGTTCTTCGCTCAGAAAACCTTTGGTGATCACGCTCTCCTCGCAGCGGTCGCCCCAGCAAAGTTTCGGAACTCTTTTGACGTGCCCCCTTCCTAAGAAAATGTTCACACCCCCAAGGCCATCCAGACGGGCAGGGGCCTGTGGGATCGACGCCTTTGAACGCTTGGAACCATTACATTCTGAGTCCTTGAGCGCTCGCACTTCATCTTTGAGGTTTTCAATCTGAAGCTGCCAATCTCGCCCAGCAAACTCCATGGCCAGAAATTCAAGGTGAGGACATCTTGCGTAAGCCACGTTAAGCACAACGCTCAAGTGGTGAGACGACTTGGATGTGTAGTGAGGTGATTGAAGTTCCATCATTAAAGACTCTCTCATGCGAGTTGCTATTTTGTATGTTTATTTCTGGCTGGAATCGGCGGCAAGGCACTAAAGACCACAACGGGGGCGTCTACTGCCCAACTTTGAAAAAACTGGTCCGCCACCAGAGGAAAAACCCCCGAAACATGATTGAACACTTCGCTTGGGAACTACATGCAGGAGGCCCTGGATCAAAATGGGGCATCCCTCCATTCTGCGACTGTACCGTTGCTTTCACCGGAGCCTGCTGGCTCCCCCGCTCACCATTTGTTTCGAAAGCTGAACTGGAAGTCCCCGGTTTGTTGTAGCACCCAACATTCCAGAATTTGACGGGCCGAGTCTACTTGAACAAAGCGTTCCATCAATGTACTTGAGTGGGAGGAGGAGGTGGATTAAGTTCATCCTTGACAAACAGTCAAACAAATTTTCGAAGTATGCCTCCGTGAGCTTTGAGTTTAAAAATTTGAAGGTTGCATAGGGTGAGTTAGCTGCTGATCGGGCCTGCCATACGTTTGCGCGTCAGTCGCGGCGAATTTCGCGTGAAGTGGAGTGGAGGGAAAACGAGCACATGCGCTGAATGTTTGACACATGGCGATCGATATCCAGGCTAGATTTAGTTTGTGCCTTTATTTGGTAGCCTTACCCACTATAGTGATGAACGAACCCCCGACAACTGGACAAGCAAAAACTGGAGATTGCAGTAAGCCCTCAAACGTCTACGAACGCACCACGTTGAACTACACCTGTCTACCCCGCTTGGCCCCGCTTTCGCACCCAGGACCACGAGGTGCTCTTTGGAAGCTTTCGGTCCAACCGGGTTTTGCTTGCATCACACTGCTTGGTGGCTCCCCGAACCCTTGCGGCGCATGTTTGTGGCCAGCTCGCCCTTCTCTGCGGCATCTTGGTCCGCTTGACCTCGGAAAGGTCGTGAGGGGCATGGGGGGAGTCGTCCGTCGAGTCTTGGGAACATATCTCCAGCGCGTGTGGCGCTAGATCTTTTTATAGTATGTATGGACGTTGGCTCAAAAATGTCTGTAGAAAGCCCTTCTGGGCCACCATTGCTGCTTCGAATGTGGGCTCAAAACCCTGATCCACACCTCGCCGGAGAAGTGGGCCTGACTCCTGGCTGCAGCCCTCTTAAAAAGGAGGTTATATAAGTAACCGTGAATAGGACCCGAGCTACCTGAAATATATACCCAACTGGGATAGTCTATAGGTATGAAACAAAGGGTTTTTCGAATCTCTGTTGGTGTGCAAAAGTGCCCGGATGCGCAAAAAACATCGCTGAGGTGCTGAAGGCACCGCCCTGCTCGAACTTCTGCGTGTCCGCGACCTCTCGTTGTGCGTCGTGCGGTCCGCCCGCCAACTCTTGCAGGAAGGCTCCACGCCTCGCAGAAGCAAATGCGTTTACATGTTGACTTTGGGAGTGTCAGCTTTTCTCATCAACACAAATGAACTTGGTCTGGTCCTTGGTTGGTGGAGTTGGGACACCGTGTGCATGCTAAAGTTGAAGAATTCGTGCGCGTCCTAGGTTTTCTTTGTTGAGCCACATCCCTAGAAGCCTTCAAGCTTCTCGGTATCATTCATCATTTATCATCTGAAAGGTCTTCTGATGTGGACTATCCTCAAGCCCATGGGTTTCATTCAAGACAAAACATACAAGCTCGGTGCCAATCTCTCTCTCCCCGTAGGCGACTTGGCCCACGCGAGGGTGCGCACGGGTGATGTTGTATGTAGGAAGTGCTTTCGCGAAAGGCTTCGCGAGGCTTCGACATAGCACATTCATGAAACCACCGCATTCGCAACATGCCGTCACAACAAAACACAGTAGATTTTATGCGAAATGGCTACGTGAGCCTTCGCGCGGGGCACGGCCAAGCAGTACGGGCGCCTTGATTTCGCGGGCTGCCGCAGTCGTCACAAAAGCCTGTAGACTGTAGCAAACTATTGACCCAACTCGTGGGCTGCCCGAAAAGAACTGTAGCTCAAAAGGTTCCTTCCACTCCACCCGCCCGAAAAAAGAGTTGGAGATTGCGCCACGAGTCCACAAGTATGACAACATATCGCCGGGCCAGGATGTTTGACTGTAGGGTGTGTGCTTTGGGGAATGCTTCCCGCGATGTGACCAGAGTGTCCAGCAAGGATGTCCCAAAGAGTGTTCTACAAGAGTGTCCCACAAGAGTGTCC